TTTTAGTTTCAATCCAAAATTATGGGTTTCATTCTAATTTTTTCTTTTTCTATTAGTACTTCTCTTCACTGGAGGTGAGAAATTTGGCTTCCATTATCCCATTATGTGTACTTAYTTGATCAATCTCCTATAGGTATTCATTCCTCGGTTGCCACCATCACCCCACCCCATCCCACCTTGCCCTGCCCATGTTTCAGCKCCCTGCTCTGGAACATTCTCTCTTAGATGGATCCCTCCTCACTCTGCTCAGGCTCTAGTTCCATGGACTGTGCCCTGATAGCTGCCTGCTTCACATTGCCCAGGCTCTGACAACGTGTAATAGACTGCTTCCTCTCTATTTCACACCTCACCACACCCYCWGCCCTATTTTATATTTTATTTAGAGACAGGGTCTCACTGAGTTGCTTAGTCTGGCTTTGAACTTCTGATCCTCCTGTCAGGCATGGGCCTGGCATACATTTCCTTTTGATTCTGCTTAAGATGGCCTACAAACTGATGTTGGTCTCAATTTATTGCAACATTCTGATCTAAACTACACATTCTATCTAAGGTAGGCTGCTTGCTTTCAACCAATAGTATGTTTTGTTATTCAGGGCTCCACAGTCTTTTGAGAATAGATTTTGAAAAGGGATTGCTGCGACATTGTTTCTTTAATTAAATCAATTAATTATAGCATCAGAATTGTCAATATGGCACCCACTTAAGTGCAAATTCAGGTGACTTTGTAAAGTTTGCAAGGAATAGATCCCAGGGTTCTCAAGCTGAGCCACAAAAGCAAACTTTCTGGGGGTTGGGGGGTGTACAGAATGGGTTGGGTTGATTATTGATCTAGTTACCCATTTAATACAATTGTTTGGAAGAATAAAAGTGAATTGATGCTTCTGCAGGTTATAAATATCTACCTCATCTTATTCCAAGAGCACTAAAGAGAGTRAAAAATAGTACATGTGACAACAATATTTAAATATATGAGTTCTGAACACAATGTTTTTTTCACTTACAGGTGAAGTTAAGAATAGTTAACTATTCTTGAAACTACAGAGAAAGACTTTTCTCCCCTCTAATCTCTGATGCAGTTTAGGAAAAGCACCTTAGACACTTGAAGCTGTGAAACTGTGATTTTTATTATAAGACAGTGGTCATGGTATTTAAGAAGGATTAACAGATGTGAAGTAAAGTCTTTTTGTGGCATATTATTTGTGATGTCTGGGGTCAAGTCACTGATTTTTTGGTGACTATCAGTTTGTCTTTCCAGTGTGGATGACAGCTCTGGAAGATGTATTGAGCTTATTTACCTTGACTTTCAGCTATCCCTTTCCTCTAAGGATCTACTAGGAAAGTATGAACAGAGAGAACTCTTTGTGAAGTATCTTAAACTTTTGTCACAGTTTGTATTTTTACATGGAAAATACTTAACCCATAATGAACTAAACCACAACCTGAGGCATTCTGGTGGTGCCATATCATCTCTTCTACTTTTTGTGAGTGAAGGTATTTCAGGAGTCCTAAGTAAGACTAACTTATTTGTAAGTTTACTTAGTGACTGGCTAATTATCTTAATAGCTCTGAATCTCACTTCTTCTTCCTGGATTTTCATTTTATAGTGATGTGATCTTAAGCAAGTTACTTAAACTTTCAGTGTCTATTTCCCCAGCTATGTCATGAATATAAAATTTTTATAAAGATTAAATAAAACAATGTAGATATAGTGGTTCACAGTACCAAGTATAGTTAGCAAGTAATAAATGCTTGCTCTTCTTAGCTATTAGATTAAATTCAAGAATCTTACTTTATTTATTTTTTTATTTTATAATCTTTCCTCAAGGGCAGCATATTTACATCAGCTGAGGGATACTTTAGAGGTTATGCAGTGATTCACAGTGCTGCTCTCTATAGTGGATAGGAGAGGTAATTTTAACAGCTGATAGTATTGAAAAAAGCCAACTACTAAATCACCAAGATTTGGAAACTTTGTATTTCCCTAGGTACAGAGAAGCCTTAAAGATTTAGAGAAATTTTGAATCAGGAAAGAGTGAGAGGAACTTTTTGTGTAAAAATAGTAGCATACTGTATATTTGTGCTAAGCCTTGTTAAAAACTTGCTGCCATTGGAGATACAAATTCATATTTATACGATTAGGTGCAATTATGTGAGTCTCTTAGCAGTACTTGGAAACTAAGAGCAGAGGAATTCAGTAGTTGGGGTAAAGCAGATTTTGATAAAGAATATATGAAATCTGGAAGACAGTGGTTTGAGGAAATAGAACATAGTGTATGGCTAGATAGAAAAGGAGGTGAGGGCAAAGAAAGTTTATGTATTATTAGGAAACCCAAGATGAAAAGATGAAGAGATGGAAGTACTCATTAGGCTTAAGTACCAATTACTCATTATTGGCTATAAAGGTTCAAAAGGGTTAACATAATACAAAGCTTTGGTGGGGTTTTATAATTTTAATATTTTAATCTTGGGTGACTTCCTGATGATAGATATTCATGATTATGATCTACAGTGGTCAGCTTGGTGTTACTACACTGAAATACCTGAGGTAATTCACTCATAAATAGAGAAGGTTTGTTTAGCTCATGGTTCTGGAGGTCCAGTCCAAGATTGGGTGTCCTCATAGTTTTGGACCTCTGGTGAGGCTGCCAGATGCCAAAAGCAAGGAGTGTGTGGCCAGCACAAGTAGATCATATCTCAAGCTAAGAAGCAGAGAGACCAAGAGATTGGGTCAGAGAGTGGGTACAACCTGGGGGCCAAGCTTTTAAAACATGGGCCTTGGGGGACATTATCCACATTCAAATAATAGAATGGCCTTAAGAGTAGGTGGGAGAGAGAATAAGGGAAGAGTACTAGAGTTAAAGAGGTTGAACTGCAAAGTCAGAGTGTTGAATGGATTATCTCTTCTTGTCTCAGAAGTTCCCCAGAATTTTTTAGTTCCTGTCTGAGAGACTAATCTCTAACCCACGGCATGGAAGCCAGAAGGATCTTGGTCTTCAAATGATATCCTGTTTGCTAGAAAAAGGAGAAAAAGAAGGAGGAAGAAGAAAGAGAAGATGAGCTCAAGATTCTTCTGGGAAAGAATCTTGAATGGGAAAGAGAGGGAAGGGGGAGGGGAAAAGAAGAAACAGAAAAAAGGAAAAGAAATGGTCCCAGAACTTGCAAATACATTTCTACCAAGGCATCCTGCATGTCATGTTGAAATGTTTTTTGACTCTAGTTGTGATCTTTCTACCTCATGGGGACAGAGTAGTTCCTTGACTTGTCCATCATGATACAACAGAATGTGTTGTATCATGGCAACGGGATTGAAATTTGCGAATGGAAGTAAGGTTGCTCATCAACAGATGGGGAGGATATTCTGGATAATGAGTGTGGGACCAATGTGACTACAAGGGTTCATGTAGGTGGAAAAGGAAGGGAGAAGAGAATCAGAGTGAGTAAAGACTCCACCCAAGGCATGCTACCTTTGCAGATGGGAGAAGAGAGCCCTGAGTCAAGGAATTCAGGTGGCTTCTAGAAGCTGCAAAAGAGCACCCTAAGAGCCTGCAGAAAGGAATGCAGCTTTGCTAACTCCTTGATTTTAGGCTAGTAGGAGCTATTTCAGATCTCTAGAATTTAAGGCAATACATTTGTTTATTAGGTGGCGGGAGTCACATAGGTGTTTTCAGCCACTGAGTTTGTAATTTGTTTCAACAATAGTGGGAAGCTAATACATACCCCTCCAAAAGTCTTGATCTCTTTTTATCCACTGTGAAGTTCTTCCAACCACTCATCCCAGGCCTGGGGGAGCTACTTTGCATTTGAGCCACTGTGGTTGACTTGGCCACCTGCTTTATGTAGGATTGGGTGAGCTGGTGTCTCAAACCTCTTCGTGAATTCATGTGGTTGGCTGTCAGCCAGGGAGACCTCTGTATGGAGGCCAAATTCCTCCTGAATGGAGTAAGGATGCCTGTTTCAGCCCAGAAGTGAAAAATCTTGGCTGGACTATCCTAGTAAATTCTCTAGATGCCTGGCAAGCACCCTGGTTTGTGGCATTCTCTCACAGCTTGAGCCTCACAAGCAGATCGGATAGATACCTTCCTGAGATACCACTTTCTTCGTTTCCTTTTGAGTGAACCGAGGTGGGCTAGGAAAGATGAGATTTTCAAAGTAGAAAAGCATGCGCTGACCTGCAGACTCAGGTCCCACAGCCATTTGCCCTAGTCACCTCACTGTGCAGATGATGGGGACTTGTCCAGAGTCAAGCTAGCAAATTAGCTGGGACCATTTCTCTTTGTGTGACTTGGCAAAGAGGAAAACTGTCTATTAGTTTTCAAGTGGGTGCCTTGGAAGAGGATTYTGGAGAGGTCAGTGCTGGTGAACAGAGAGAGCATTGGCAGAGCAATGYTAGAAAAAGTTAAGGAACTGGGCAGGAAAGCAGGCAGCAGCGCGGAGCTGGGGAGACAAGGGACTTGGGTCCCCAGTGGTTCATGATCATACTCAACATTTGCGCCTGTTTTTCCACCCGATGAGGGGCTGGCCTGGGGGCCTCCGTTAGCAACTTCCTCCAGTGCGGTTCAGGGTGGATCTCCAGGGTCTCCCCTATTTGGCCCGCCTGGGCTCTGGGAGGGGCGGGAGGAGTGCGGGGGTGGGAGTCCCGGAGGAAGATGCGCGGAGCTGGCTGCAGGCCGCGCGGGCGGGGTGCGAAGGCAGAGGGGTGGGGATCTGGGGTGGGCTGCGCCCTCCCGCTCCCACCCACTCCACACCCCRCCGAAAGCGGACACTGTCAGCTGATTCACTCCCCTTTCAGGAGAAGGGAGGGGAAAAAGGTACCTAGCCCCTTTCTGCTTAAAAAAAAAAAAAAAAAAAACTAAAGGGGGATCCACAGCAGCTTTGCAGCCGCTCCCTCCCCACGCCTGGACCATGCACCCCTGCATCTTCCTGCGCGGCCACAGGCGAGCCCTTGATTTGGGGAACTAGGGCTAAAACTTTTGACTCTCCTTCTTCCCAACAACTGAATCATGCCATGTGTCCGGAGGAGCTGGCTTGCAAACCTGTCCGTGGTGGCCCAGCTCCTTAACTTTGGGGCGCTTTGCTATGGGAGACAACCTCAGCCGGACCCGGTGCGCTTCCCAGACCCGAGGCAAGGTCAGTGGCTTTTCCTTCTTTCCTTTTAAAACGGGGGTGGTGAGACCTGTGGAAACTCGCTCGCTCCCTTCTCCCTTCCCCCACCCGGTGGAGCTGCACCCTGCACACCGCTTTCTGCCCAGTTTAAGGAAACGTGGGCTGGGAGCTCAGTGGGTGCGCTTGCCTTTCTCCCGAGCCAGCACTTGGGGGAGGACGGTGATTCCCACTGAAAGGGAGTGTCCCGCGCCCTTTCACACGGATGACACTGCGGGCTTTGAAAGACTCAAGAGTGAGCTGGCGATCTCTCTCTCTCTCTCTCTCTCTCTCTCTCTCTCTTTTGTCTTCTCTTTGCTGCTTTGTTTCAACCTCCTATTTTTAAAATTCTGAACATAAAAAAAAAAAATCCGTTTTCTAAAGAAGTTCCAACTGGGCACCGGCGGTCAGTGCAGGGTTTCTAGTTAGTCTTAAACTCCTGGTCAGGGAAGGGGAAATGTGATTCCGCCCTCCTGCTGAGCACGCTTGGCTGTGTTTTGATTTCCTGGAAAGATTTAGGGTTGTGTTTTTAAAATAACAGCCCTTGTGGGGGGAATTTACCCCCATAGGGCTTCACTGTTCCGGTCCTGCCTGGCAGCTGGCTGGTTCTCCTTTTGAAGATTGTGAAATGCATGTTATAGAAACCATTGGAGGCGGTGTGCTGGGTAGTTTGTCATTTTTAAAAAATATATTTTTATTAGTTGTTGATGGACCTTTATTTTATTTATTTATATGCCGGTGCTGAGAAATGAACAGTTACTCACACATGCTAGGCAAGCACTCTACCATTGAGACACATCCCCAGCCCGTAGCTTGTTGTTTTTAATATTATTTTTTAAACCTAAAGCTTGGAGTAAGGTGGTACTGTGGCCTCTGCTCCCCCGCCCCCCCCCCCCACACACACTTTGGACTCCTAAGGTCAGAGACTTTTTTTTTCTCTTTGCTGGAGAGTTTATTGTGCCTCTGATAAAGAAAGAGCAACAGCAAGGGCCTGTGTGTATCTGCCCATCTGACCACTAGCCGAAGCCTTCAGACTGCAGAAACCTTTGCGGCACTCAGCCCCTACTTCATTGATGGGGAAGCTGAAGATTGGAGAGTTTATGAGCCCTGCTAATGGTAGAGCAAGGTTTTGAACTGGAGCCTGATTCCTACGGTGCTGCAGCACTACCCCATTGAAATATTAGGAATAACACTCACCACCCCTCCCCCACCACCAAGCACTCAGTTAGCATTCATGAAGTCCAGTGTTTGCTAACTGTGGTCAGGTCTTGGGAAGGGTTCTTTTCTGACAACCTTTTAACTCCCAGAACCACTTGGGTGACAAACTTTGCCAGCTTGTTCAAGTTTAGGGGGTTTCTAGGCTGGGTTTTCTGCCCACGTTGCAATGTTCAAATTCTGCTGGGGAACTGGACAACTGCAGCTTTGAGAGCTATCTGATGCAAGTCCCTCCCTCCCTTTGCTTTACTTGGAAGCTGGAGCCTGCAAACACTGGGGTGAGATGTCAATCAGCCAGCAGTGGTTTGTGTAAACGGTGGAGATATAATCTCCCACCCCCAAGTTTAAAATAGCAGCGCTTGTTGTTCTTTGAAAAACAGTCCCTTTGTGAAAAGTCTCTCTTCTGAGGCAGCACAAACAAAGCCTGCAAGCACTTCCCAGGGCATTTGGAGAGGATTTGGTTCAAAGACATACATTCTCCTGCACTGGTTTCAGCCCCACTTGCTGCACATCTTATTAAGGGAATTCAGCCTGGTATGGAGTGGACTCCTCAACCTTACTGGTTCCTCTCTGGAAAGTGAGAAGGGAGTCTTTTCCTTAGTCACCTGAGGATATTTAATATTGAAAATTAACATAAAGTGCTTCAGGTTTATTAGTGATGCATATGTATTTAAATTTAAAAATAATTTGTTTTTAGAAGGCATTTCACCAATCTTAATTCATTAATGGATTTACAAACAGTCCACTCTTGGTGCTAAGGAGAAATTTCTAAACAGACTTCCATTTAGAACAAAGGGGTAGAAAGAGGAGAGACTTAGGAGAAGACAGGAGAGGGTGAACTCTTCTCTATAATTATAAGGGGATTCTAAAGTTTCCAGGGAATAGGGTGACCTAGATTTTGCCCCCAAATGACATTCCATTTCCACTCTGACAACATTTTTTAATTACATTAAGATCCTGAATATGTCACCTTGCAAGCTACTTCAGAAATCATCTCACTTAACCTTCTCATCTTTATTTTTACAGATGAGAAATGGGAGGCCTAGGTGGTTAGTCTGAGTCAGGATGTAGTTTTTGAGCAACTACCAAATTCCACTTCACTAGGGGGTTGAAGCAGGCAACACAGGGCCTCATAGTTGGAAACAGATCCAGATAATCCACATATTAGATAATCTTGAAGGGTCCTTCTAGTTCCCAGGGTTGACCAAAGATAAAGCAAATCCTTTCAGGGACTAGAAGCCAGCAGATTCCACTAAGTCTGCTCAGTAGTTTCTCCACATCACTCATTTCTGATGTAAGAATGTACTATGACTTTTCCAAGGTTTTTTTGATTCACAACGAAGTACCAAAACAAAAGAAAAAATTAACCTTGTGCATAATATACTGCCTTTGTTCTAAAGCCAATAATATCCCCTTAGGTTTATTTATTTCTGTACAAATGCTCTCAGTATACAGCGGTGTTCCATTCTGATGAACCCATTGAAGTTGAAAGTATCCTAAGTTGAAAATGTATTAATGCACCAAAACCTCACCTACATCCCAGCTTAGAAACACAATATATTACCAGGTATGGCTGTTTCTGCCTGTAGTTGTGATGCCTCTGGTTACAGGTGATGAGTCCTGCTTCCCTACATGTTGAAGTTTGAACATTAGAGAAGCGCACAGAGGCAAGCATATAAAGCAGGGTTTATTTTAAAAAAGGGTAGCATAAACTTCTCCCAGAGGGAGAAGGGGGCCAGAGCTGGTATCCTGGTATCCCAAGAAGCAAGGGTGTTCCACCTTTTTATAAGTCTTAGACTTCCTTTGTTTTCCTGCTCTCTTCCCCTTATCTTTCTCCTTCCTGCACAGTGACTAGGTCCAGGGGATGTTTGGTGGGGTTACCAAAAGGTGGGAAACAGGTAGCTGAAGGGGCAAGGGCAGGGTGGAGCAGCCCAGGACACATTAATTAACAACTTTTACTACTCAATGTAGAGAGAGGCAATTACTGGGACAGGTTGGAACAGGAACAGGTTCTTGATAAGGGTGGAGGAGGGGCTCTGAAGGCATTTCAATCCCTCAGGGGACAGTCTCTGACTTCCTGGACTCACTCAAATTGGCTTCCTTGATTTACCTATCTATCCTGACTGCCTGTCTTAATTCTGGCTTCACTTGTGTGGCTGACTGGGAGTTGGGGCTTGCTGCTGCTGCTCATCATCATCAGAAGAGAGTATCATACCAAACATCACTGGCTCTGGAAAAAATAAAAATTCAAAGTAGTTTCCACTGAATGTTTATTGCTTTTGCACCACCATGAAGTGGAACATTGAAAGTCAGGGACCATCTACAGGGTTAACAAGGCACCAGTCACTTCCATGGTCTGTTTTGCTCTTGACAATTTGATGCCATCAACAGGGCAGGCACTTTATCCCACGTTAAAGATGTGCTCCAGGGTGCACAGGCTTGCATAAGAACAGATGGAGCCAGGAACCTGAGGCAGGAGGATCTCGAGTTCAAAGCCAGACTCAGCAAAAGCGAGGCACTAAGTAAATCAGTGAGACCCTGTCTCTAAATAAAATACAAAATAGGGCTGGGGATGTGGCTCAGTGGTTGAGTGTCCCTGAGTTCAATCCTTGGTACCTACTCCCCCTCCCAAAAAAAACCCCCACAAAACAGAAGGAGTATTGCAGTGTTTCAAGACAAGAGCTATAATCATTTATTTATGCTACTTGCAAAAAAAATTTTTGCAAGAAGCAAAGGATTCTAGATATCTTCTTAATGTCAGAAGAGACTTTGCAGTTTCATTTTGTTAATTATAGTAATCTTGTCCGGTGGGCATATGAGTTTTCATAGGATTGGTGGGCAAATCCAATCTTCTGTGGAGAATTCTATAACTTCGAAGGGACTAACATGATTCTCTACAACTTGTCAACATAAGTCAATTTCTATAATAAAAATACAGTTGTATGGTTATAAAAACCCATGGAAAATAATTATGAGAACAAACCTCTTGTTATGGGCCAGGCTATATGGACAATGACCAATCAGATCCCATTTTACTCTGAGACTTCATATCATATAAGAAATGCTTCTCCTACCAGAAAGCCCACCTCTGTACCCATTAGTAGTTACCTAGCATAACATACCTGGCAACACAAAATAGCAATTCTTATACAATGTAAAATTGTTCTCTTTGGTTTCCATTTTTCTTGGACAATGTACCTTTTCAGAGATTTATTGTGTAGATGTTAGTAACCATTGTCTACTGTGTACTGAACTAGGGTTTTGACCCCCTTCCCTTCTGCTTGCTTGTTGCTATGCCAACCTGGAAAGTCCTGTGGGAAATACCCATGTACCCATTGCACTGTCTCGCTAACTGCCCAATTCAGCTTCTTTACCTACTTGCTTGCAGATACGGCAACCCAGATATGGTTTTTGCCTTTAAATATCCTAAAATGCTCAGGCTTGGGGCTGTTCCCTCTAGAGACAGTTATGGGTCCTATGGGCGGCAGTCACTGGCTGGCCTGCTAAATAAAAGACTCTTCAATTTGGACAACTGGGACTTGGTGTGTTTCCTGAGCCATCTGCCCCATAACACTCTGTTACAGGAATTTCATTACTTTGTTTAGCAAGGGGGGTCTTAGAAAACCAATTGATCTTTTAGATAAAAGTAAACATAAAGAATAAGTACAGATGATCCTGCGTCAACAAAGTTCCAAAATGGGCACTATACAGAGGTGAGCATGGCCACTATATAAGGATGACACAGAAATTGGTGGAATGTTTCATAAAAAAGA